AGTGGCATCACAATTCCGAATGAATTTGGAAAAAGAAAATGAATCTTTTAATACAAAAGGAACTGTAATGTTGCAATACTGGTTGCAACATTATAGCAAAGCCACTTTTGCAACTTTATGCTGTGAAGACCCAATCATTGATAATATGGGTCTCAACGGGACACCCTCCTTATGAATCTTAAGTAATCCATATAGACGGGGACGAATAGAACCAGACGGTCTCAATTCCTCCGCCATTTTAGAAGAAAGAACACCACTTTTTACCCATTTGACAAGACGTTTCTGAAATCGAATTTCAGAAGTCAATGTAGAATCATGAGTATCAATAGAACCAAGACGTTGAAACTTGGAAGGGTCATTCAATATACTTAACATTTTGTTAATGTAATCATGGCGGTCCATGAGGACAACACCAGATCCCTTATCCGGTTTAGTAATAACCAAAGAATGGTTATTCTTATCTAAATTCCCCGTTAACAGTTCTGACGAGAGGGGACGAAACCGGTCGACTGTGTGTGTTTTATTTTAAACTTATCATGGCCTACAATACTACATTTCTAGTTTTTAATGCCTTAATATATATATATATATATATATATATATATAGGTAACTACACTCGTCTCGGAAAGCCTTCGGTTTCTTGATTTGCTAATGATCAAATCAATTTCGAAGAAAAAAATGTTTTAAAAAAGAAAGAGCTAGGGACATGAACGTATGTCGAAAATAATCGTACAGCATACAGGTCCAAAGCCCAAAGGAAAAAAAACCGATACGAGTAATCAACTAACTAAAAAAGTGCTCAATACAAAGTAGAGTTGACCTAGTCAAACCCAGAGATCCAGACAAACCTATCAAGGTTTCACCTAAGCGTATCGTCAGGGAAAGCTTTTCCTGACGATCCGCTTCGTAGGTTTGTCTGGCTCTCGAGGTTTGACTATATATATCTATATATATATATATATCTATATATATATGACGAGGGTGAGTGAGAGAGGGTGGAGTGATGAGATTGAGAACACATGAAATACTGAATGTGATTAAATTATACATTAAAAAATTTATAAAATAAATGTTAATTTATGAAATCAGGAAATGTTTATTTAATAAAACCTCGCTGACATTCCGGATTGTCTCACTTCGGAAGCGAGTGAAATTCTGGCTGAAGTATTTTTTATTCATATTTGTCTATGATTTCTACAAAGTGACTTTCAATGTATCGTCGTTATGGCAGGAGCGTAATAGGTCAGGTTGGGTTCATTATCGTCCTATAACATTGGAATTTTGTACGCAGAGTTTAGATTCTAAATCGTGTTTCTAAGTAATATCCATTTTTACTGTATAATTTCTCACTAAAAATAATAAGTCTTCTATGTTGGCTTTAATACGAACATAGCATAAAAAAGTTTTCTATGTTTGCTTCACCGGATGCACGGATAGATAGCGTCTCGGAGAGCCGAGTTCGAATTCCAGTCGGATCCATTACATTCACTTAACGTGCTAGAAGAGGATTCATACTTTTCCCAGGGTATGAATCGTCTTCTTCCCCCATATATGGCAGGACAGTCTGGTTTCTTTAAACTTGTATAGTAACCGGTTTAGGAGAAGGAAAATCTTTTAATTCAAAATTCGTCCTGAGAACGTTGGGCTCCGTCATTCTATCTTACCCAAGAAACACCATTTCTACTGTGGCTGCAGTAATAACATTATGTCCCTACGATCCTACGTGTCACGGGATAAAAAAAATGCTTGCTTTTATAAGAAACTGATCTTAATAAACAGTAAATCGGGGATAATTTATTAAAAATTAATACTGTGCGCACATTATAGTTGGTTTAAAGATCATATCACGTTTTTATAATGAATACAAATCTTTTGCAATGTAACTGTATTAATAAAAAACAATACTGAAGAAATTTCAGGCCAGAATATATATGATAAATATTCAATGAGAACGTTAGCTTTTATTATATTATTTGGCTAGGTATTAGAATATGTTCTATTAAGAGTTGTGTTTCCTTTATTACGTAACTACAGGGTTTTCTATAATATTTCATAGATGTTTCTATTTATCATTTAATTCCTCATATATGAAATTCATCGATGGTAAATATATATATATATATAATCTCAAAAGAGAAAAAAGATACTGTAGGTAACGGGTGAGGAGACACACAGCTAGAAATTCCAAAGCGTTTGAACAGATATTACTGAAGAAAGAGAAAGATTTAAAAGATTAGCAATATATGGTGGCACCGTGGAGTAGTGGATAGCGGCTCCTATTGAGGAACTGGAGCCGAGTTCGAATTCTACGTAAGTGAATGTAATAGATTCTATTACATTCATTTACGTGCTAATACACTTCAGAAAGGTATGAATTTTCTTCTGCCTTTCTAAAGCCTTGGATGGCAATTTTCTATCGAAAGATACGTGATATATGGCACATAACTGACTGAATATATGTTAGAAAATTTGTTGTTTTTAACAATAAATATATCAGTAAATATTAAAAGAGTCATAACCAAGAAATAGAACTGGAAAGACAATATTTGAATATTCTGGTGTTGCGAATGTAAAAAATACGAAACGATGACGGATATTAAAAATAATATGCAAAACAATATGATCATAATATGCATATGTAAAAAAATATTCAAGCAAAGAAGATCAAAGATACATTTTATTTATTTGTTGTTTTTTTAAGGTTAAGTCAGAAATTTATTTTTAGATTGTAAGAATTTATTTGGGGGAGATAAGTATTGTATTATTTTAGTCCTGTTAATCAACCTATAGCTGTTGTTGAGGAAAGATGTGAATTTATACTTTACCCCCAGGAGGGATACGTTGACGTAGAGTAATGATTCACAGGCTTGTCTCACTGGAACTAGTGCGACTTAGAAGTGAGTTCGTGAGTCCTCACTGGGGGCCCAATACTTTCGCCCTTGTGCCACATCTATGCGACGCTTTGTAAATCACCATACCCTCCCCAAGCATAAGCGAACATAACGAATCAGACTGGAATTGGAACTCAGTTCTTCGATTTTTAATTCCGAGTCATTATCTATTACACCATCCGCACACCCAATCTTACAGCGCCTGGCATTCTCAAGGAGTCACCCATCGAGGCTCAAATTCGTTTAACATCGTAAGAGAATCAGTATTTGAATGGGATAAGGCCACACGCCCGACCTGAGAAGCCAGAGATTAGTTAAAACCATGTTTTAAATGGAAATAGAAAAGTTAACAAAATGAATGAAAAGATTGTGTATATTACAGAATGGCAAATATCTCAACTTATTATTTAAATTTTCGATTATGGTTATTGGGAAGTGAAGAATTGGCAAGTAAAATCTTTTCGAACTTGAACCTTTTTCTGCGAAGTTGATTACCCAAATAGAAAATGTTTCTGCGCATGAAGCCTTTGCATATATGAAAGTTTCTAGTTCAGAAAACCATTAAAAATATAAGCCACGAACTTTACAGACGAGACATAACCCCTGCGAGTTTTATACTTTTATAGCTATTCTTGAAGGCACAAAGACATGAAACGCCACTAAGATAGCGGAACATGTGACTAAATTATTGACGTCTTTTTTTTTTTTTTAATCATTCCACCTCAAGCAAGGCGTATGGAGTCAATTCGCTGCCAAGCTTGCGACAGGCTTGTAGAAATCACTACCTTCAGGCAGCGAGAAACCCAGACGGGCAGACTCCTCTGGGGAGTTAGACAAACCCGATCCCATGTATGCGCGGTCTACGGGGAATTCTTGCCCGAACTTACGGGTTCGGAATTGCCCCACGTAAAAAAACCGGCCTTGTGTCACATCTGGCTTTGTGGGGAGGTTTGGCAAATACCAGCAAAGGGGTAATGCCACTAATAGGCAGGAAATTACAGAGAGTGAAGGTGAATGAGAGGACTGAGATTAGAGAGGATCTGTCAAGAAGAACAAGTTTGTATTCAAAACCAAGTGTACGGTTTGAGGGCAAACCACACAACATTCCATGGTTTTCGGCTGTCACCAAATAATCTGAAAGTCCATTGAAATGATCATGAAGAAGAAGAATCAGTCTGTTACTTCTACTGTCAGATTACCCCAGGCTCCCAACGATGGATGCAACCGTAGGTCTAGTATTACAAACAGATACGCGTTTGCAGCGTAAATTAAGCAAATGATAAGATATGATTAAGGTGAATTCTCTTCGCACTCCGATCAAAAACGTAGATTATTTTGTTAACTGATATCATAATAGTATTTACCAGTAATGCTATAGTTTTAGTGAACATTTTTTTAATCATTTCACCCCTACGCAAGGGGGGAATGCCGCTAGTACACAGAGGTTTACAGGGAGTGAAAGTGAGAGAGAAGAATGGGTACAAAGAGGATTGAGGAAATAGTGCGAGAAATTGTCATAAAAACAGTAAAATCAACCTTGCTGACCGAAACGCTCCTCTGTAGCGAAATCGATAAAATCAAATCAGGCTATATGACGGTTCCGTATAGGATACAGGTTCGATTCCTGTCGGAGAACGCATATTTTATATGACAATTTCTCGGACATTCAGGCCGGTAAATGTTGTTAATACTGTTTATTATAAACAGAGCATTTACTTAATATATATATATATATATATATATATATATATATGCACAGAGACATACATATTAAGAATAGAAAACATCCGTGAGTGTATTTTGAAAATTGATTGAGATCGCTTATTCAAATATATTCTCCTCAAAGTATAATATATATATATATATATATATGTATGTGTGTGTGTGTTCATATATATGTACAAATGAATCTTTTAAAAAAAAAAATTTTTACGGTTTGCTCTTCGCGTATATAGGTCTTTTACATATTCTCCAGTGTATATTCGACTTCCCTTTCAGAAATGCATTTTCATTTTTCTCCTTTCCCCGCTCGGATTTCAATCAAAATGCGCTTAGTGCTACCAGCTTTCGCTTTCTTTCTTTTTTTTTTTTTTTTTTTACTTCAATAGCAGCTCTTGTTTCGTCAGTATTCGCCTCCACAGGTTCCCACCCAACTTCATACTTAAGACTGAATACACATTTGCATACCCGCATAAACACACTCACACACATATTCCCTATATCGAAACACAAGAATCTATCTATCTATCTATCTATCTATCTATCTATCTATCTATGTCTCTTCATATCTAAGTCTCTTCATAAATATCATCTCGGTCTCTTCATATCTATCTATTTCAGTCTCTTCATATCTATCTCAATCTCTTCATATCCATCTCTCTATTTATCTAATATTCATCATATCTATTTCATTCTTTTCATATCTATCTTTCTTGTCTGTCTCTCTGCCTCTCTCTCTCTCTCTCTCTCTCTCTCTCTATATATATATATATATATATATATATATATATATATATATCAGTCTCTTCAGTTTTTAAGATCTAAATTTCTTCATATCTATGTCGGATCATTATCAATCTATACGTATATATATATATATATATATATATATATATATATATATATATATATATATATATATATATTCTAGCTTTTAATTGAAAAACATTTTCCTACTAATAGTAGACTTAGTTAAATATTTAATAAAAACACCCTAAAATTAAGTTACAGTTGCACTGAATATCTAGAAAGTATAATAAAAAACACAATAATAAAACGTTGAATAAACTCCCATGCCAGAATAGTATTAAGAAAAATCCTACACTTAAATTAGACAAAAATAGTGAAAAAATATGTGATTGTAGAAACTCAGAAGCATGGATTTTACGCGGCATTTATTTTCATTGGAAAATAAATGCCGCGTAAAATCCGTGCTATACCAATGTACTATCTCATCCATTGAGAGTCCTAATACTAATATGATATAGATTGGGTCTACGAAGAATGAATTTAAAACAAGATGGAGGTTTCATAAGTGCTCCTTCAACAATATAAATAAAAGAAATCAAACATCTCTATCTAAATATTTTTGGCATTTGAAGGAAATGAATAAAACACAAAAAGTAAATTGGAAAATTATAAACAAAACTAGAACTTATAAAACTTTATACCCTTTACGCCTACATGAAAAACTACACATTATCAAGTTCCTAAATAATACAAATTTATTAAACACCAGACATGAGTTAACGGTTTTTGCCGACATCATCAAATTTTCGCATTGAATAATTAGCATAAAAAACAAACAATAAAATAATAAATACAAATGTTAAACTCCATAGTCTAAATAAATAGTTTAAATGCCCTACCCAATAAAAAAAGATAACCCTTTATGAAGTCGTCAAAAAACAAATGTTATCGAATTATTTTTTATACACAAAACCCTTTCAGAAAAAAATAAAAAATAAAATAAATAAATAAATCTCCATAGACTCTTAATCAGACTAGACGATGTCATCTTTCGCTTTAAATTTAGACACCCCCAACATTACCCTGACTTGATGTCTTTGAATCTAACTGAGATATTGATACAAATTATTAACCCTTACGCCCCTTTTCTTTAAATAATTGCTCTAGCCGTTACCATAGTAATTTTAATTTTGATAATGAATATGCTTATAAAACGCGTAAATTTCAGGAATTAGTTATTAAAAAAAAAAATCGCTTGAAGATAGAACAGAGCTTGGTATTTTAATTCAATTTAATTCAAATAATTATATTGAAGTTTTCGGCTCTAGTTTCGAAACATGAGAACACTTATATAGCGTTGGAATTATATTTTTAAATAAATAATTATATTTATGCTCTACTTTTGTATCGAACACATTTTTTTTTACAAATAATAAACAAAAAAATACTAAAGAACTTTTGGATTATTTACCTAACGAGTTCTTTCCTATTTTCTATATTTTTTTTTACGCACACACACAAACACACACTCATATATATATATATATATATATATATATATATATATATATATATATATATATCCTTTCATATGTATCGGTCTATCTATCTCACCCAATATAATATGAATGTTATATATGATAATTGCGAAATTTTAACGTGTCTTTATTTTTAGGTTCGCAAAAAGCGGACAATAGATAAGTAAAGCTACAGTACTCAGTAATAGTGATAAAAAACTGCTGCAATTGACATATCTGGCTAACCAACTCAAGATATTCGCGTTAGAAAACTAATCAGGACCAGAAATATGTTATCGATCCTTTTTATCACAGAAATTTACTGAAATTAACTTATCACATTTCTGTCATAAATATTTAACATTTATTCAAAAATAGAGTTCTTTCTTCCATTTTCACAACTTCCTAATTATGTGATGAAACCAATTATAGAAAATCTTGCGCGGCCCTTGAAATCACTGCTGAGTTTTGAACAGTTGTAATCCTTAACTTACACTCCAAAATGTTCAATCGAAATGTCTTTGGATTACAAAGTAACATGCAACATTTTCGTTTAAGATTATTCAGGGCGAACGCTTATTCTTAAAAGGGATGGAATTTTATTTTGTTTTTGATTTCTAAGGCCAGAATTATTCAAAGTGTAAACGACAGAGGCTCTCCAAAGATTAGTTTCATTATTTTCTCTGAATGGGAATGATTTCAAGTCAAAGATAATGGAACTGTTTACCCTTGCCTTCACAACAGCTTTAAATACGTAATATGTTAACATCTGGCCGCCCTTGATGAAATTTGTTTCGTATTTTAACCAGATAAGTCAACTGAAACATTTTGATTTATTGAACATATATATATATATATATATATATATATATATATATATATGTGTGTGTGTGTGTGTGTGTGTGTATGTATGTGTGTGTGCATATATGTGTGTATATATATGTATATATACGCATATATAAATGTGTATTTGTATTTATGTGTATACATATGTATATACATATATATGTGTATATATATATTTGTATTTATATGTATATATATGTATATATATATGTATATATATATGTATATATATGTGTTTATATGCATATATGTGTATATATATGTATCTATATATATATGTGTATATATAAGTACATATGTGTGCATATATGTATATATGTGTGCATACATATATATATGTGTATATATATATATATATATATATATATATATTGTCGACATCGATGTCAACACCAGAGGCGACAGTCGATTTCATGGATTACACACCTCATTCTGTTTATTCATGACTTGAATAAACAGTGTGTAATCCATCGATCGGCATGCACAATAGACACCTCTAAGTAAAAACATGTGTCCTTTGTAATAAATAAATAAATAAAAATATGGTGTATATTTCAAATAAGTAATCTCCACTATAATAACGTTTGCAATAAGTAAAATATTAAGCAGACCTAACATGTATATTTCTCAGCGTATTTCTTGTGTGTATAATTCTTGTGTGTATGGGTATCATTATTCTAGTTTGTCTATGCGTGATTCGGATGATAATGTGTATTTGTTATTGTGCATGTATGCATTTGAGGATGCAATAAACATTTTTTTTATCTGTGTTTGGTGGTTGTCCGTATATTGATTTGGCGACCGAAAGATTTTAATTCACACCGGTTGTAACTGTAGCTTTTAGAAATATCTATCGACAAACGTAATAATTGCATGTAATAAAAATACTATACTATAAGACGAACTGTCACCTGACAACACAAATTAGTGATATTTGAAAATGGGGAAACCGACAAAGAACAAATATCAAATCTTTGATAATGGATTATGAAAGGCGAATGTGCTCAGAAATGTTACATTTAAATATGACACTGACGGAACGTACAGGTCTGTTACCAATACAAGAGAAGTAAAACTCTGGACCCAGAACCGTGGAGCATACAAGATGATACCTTTGTCTTTCGCAGATACTATCATAGCGTTGCGGAGTTGAAAGATGTTAAATAGAAAACGTGAGGGGCTATGCAAACCAACGTCACGAATAGTGGTCTCAATAAAGACAATAATGTACCTTTGATCCTCTCAGTTAACCAACGTCTGTATTAATTTGTAAGATCATATAGTCGTAACAATGTCTGGCAATTCTTGGCAGGACGCAAAAGTGACGGAAAAGATGGCGCATAACCTTCCTAACGAGCGTATGTAAATGCTTGGAAGAATAACGATTAGGATAGAGAGTAAAAAACAAAATTGACTAATAACTACAAAGAACAGCAAACTGTGGAGAGTCATGATAACTCACGCCCCGAAGAGACACTGCATATAGAATAATAATAATAATAATAATAATAATAATAATAATAATAATAAGAAGAAGAAGAAGAAGAAGAAGAAGAAGAAGAAGAAGAAGAAGAAGAAGAAAATGTGGCATATCGGGACATCAACAATCCCTGTTGTAGTTGGAGCCCTAGGACTGGTTGGAAAAGATTGCAGTAGACTAATTGAAGGCATTCCTGGAAGTACATGCCTCAAGGAGATACAAAAAATTGTTCTGACACGTACAGCCCACACTTTACGAAGGGCTTCATCTATGTAATTTTTTAAAAATTTGTCAGTGGAAAGTATCATGATGCCATTTCTAACCTTAGGTCCCTGGGCGGTACCCGGAAAGAAATGTGTAAACGCCAGAAATCAAAGAAAATAAAAATAATAATAATAATAATAATAATTTTATTTGGGCAGTGGAAAATGTCAGGATGCCATTTATGACATTAGGTCTATGGGCGGGACCGGAAATGTGTACACATCAGAAATCAAACTTGACTGAAAATAAAATAAAATTAAAAAAAATAAAAAAATAAAAAAACAATAAAAATAATATTTATGGATTGATTCATTTTCTACGGCTTATCAACCTTTTCGAAGTTTATTTAAAGCCAGCATATATTTTTAGATTGTACGAAATAATTTTGGTGGGGAGTGGAAGAATGATAATTTAGTGATACAGATCTTACTAATTGATCCATAGATGGGAGAGAAGGCGATTAATAAGTTTCCCAAGTGCATTTGCCTATAAATATATATAATGAACCTAACTGGAATTGGAACTCGATGTTTCCATTAACAATTCCGACTCATTATCCATTGCACCAGCCGCAAACAGTAAGCTGTATAAGCTGTTACTCATCAATGTACTGAACAAGCTCGGCGTTGCTTAACTTCGGTGATCGTTAAAAGAGGATGATGATTTCACTCATATATATGTATATATATATAGAGAAGAGACCAAAATATATATAT